GTTAGCTATAGCTCCCATTAGCTTTGGAGGTCCACTGGTTTCCACGGTCCTCTCAACATCGGATTTTTCTTTTAAATGGACCATAAAGTGATGCTTAAAAGTATAATGCTCTCACCTCAAAAGATCTTAAAACATACTTTTATTAAGCAACAGCAACAGAAAATACAAATACAAAAAATACAATTCAAGGATTAAAAAGTCTGGACAGAAAGTTGTCTGCGAAGTCTCAAACTAAGAGAACGTATCTCAGCCAACATACATCAGAGCCCATTTCCCAACCTCCTCGACACCTTTGCCTCTGGAACTAGACCAGAAGAAAAGTCAGATGATCTAAGACCCACACCTAAACCAAACGTACAGTTTTTCAACTCCCAGTTCTGCTTCTGACCTCAAGAAAGTACTGACCTGTCCAGTCCCCGACAAAGACAGACAGAAAGGTTAGTTTTACTAAATTAAACGATAAACTGGGGGTAAACAAGAATATTCAAATGCTAATAAAGCTATTTTAGAAGGTTCTGACAACCCAATCAGAAAAGGACAATTTTATGTTTTTAAGGAAGAAATAATAGGTCAAAACGAACCTTCGGAGATGTTGACAGTGAAAGGACTTCTGGGAATCTGTTGCCCAGCAAAGGTCACGTAGATGGTATGAGGGCCTTCCAGGACAGGCACATAGGTACACCGGAATATACTGTCTCCTCTGTTCTCCAAGACTATCTCCACTGTGTCCCTCCGGCTGTTTGAGTCTACAATGATAACACCTACGTCCCCAGAGCCCGCCCCTAGTGGACAGAAAAACAGACTTTTTAGCACTGAAAAAAGAACACAATCATTTATAGAACAACACCAGAAGAGAGGACAGGGAACATGTTCTCCACATCCACATCAGGATACATGACTGGGCAGTTACCTGCTGTATAAATGTCAAAATAGGTAGGTTTATTGGCTACGTTTCCCATCGGCTGCAGACCTGGCCCGCGGGCCTGAACCCTGGTGGGGTCCCCCATGGCTTTGGAAACATTCACCATGAAGGGGCTTCTGTCAATGTCCTGCCCGGCAAACAGCACCTTGACCTTGTAGAAGGAGGAAATAAGAAGATCTTTAGGCTTATCTTTTGGACCTTAAAGTACCTCAAGATAATAGTTGAAATGTTATTGTTGCAATGAAGCATACAACATAGTGGAAATAGTTACTCTAGTTCAGTGGTGCTCAAGTCCAGTCCTTAGGAGCTACCATCCTGTAACTTTTCGATTAATCTCTTCTCTAAACCACCTGGATCTAAAGTCTCAGTCCCCCGAGCTCAGTATAGGTATGGTAAGGAGCCACACATTTGATTCAGATGTGATAAAAAATGGGGTGCATCAGAAAGTAGCCGGATAGTAGGTCTTGAGGACTGGACTTGAACACCCCTGCTCTAGTTTGACCAATTGGATTTAGTTACCTAAATCTGAGCAACTATTATCTAAGAGTTAAAATTTTAGAGTGTGGTTGACCACATTTACTAACATTCCCCTTTGTTGGTAATATATCTTTGAAAACGATTAGAAAATAAAGTCTTTTGAGTATATTTACTATAGCCAGACCACATGACCGCAGGTACGATGTTGCGTATGTATCCAATGGGTAAACCGAAGAGCTATAGATGTAAGTTTTTGAAATTAGCAATGAAACAGAATACTGAAGGGCTAGTAATATCAATGCAAGAGGTNAGTTATATTCACCAATCATTCAAGTTTCCAGTTTGCAATAGTTAAAGGGGAACACTGTTTTTTTTTACATTGGGCCCTTGATTTTACGTTATTACATCATGTTCTACTCCCCTTTTGAGTTTTATGTCACTTGGAGCTGTTCTGAAGATATTCCGTTAGGTTATATCCAAGTAACGTCTTCCTATGGGCAACGACTTGAAGACACAACCTAAACTGTTCAGAATTTATTCTTTATGGTACGCCAGCATTAATAACATGTAGGAGAATCACTGTCCCCCAGACATCTGCGGTTATATTTTATATATTTATATTTTTTTTAAACAAAGCGGAGCGTGTATGACATCATCCGCGTGCCGGATTACTTTCTACCCCTTCTATTAATTCGGTTAGCTAATCTGGATCGTTCAATTCCATTTGGAGAGCGAGATCATCTGTGGTAGTAGCACTAGACATCTTCCAGGCATGTCAGTAAAACTAGCAGCAGTTCAGCGGACAGGAAGAATGAATGGTAGCCGGCGCACATGGATGACATCATACACACTCCGCTTTGTTTTTAAAAGATATAAATATAAAAAATATAACCGCGGATGTCTGGGAGACAGTGATTCGCCTACATGTTATGAATGCTGGCGTACCAGAAATGATAAATTATAAACAGTTTCGTTTTTGGCTTCAAGTCATTGCCCATAGGAAGACGTTACTTGGATTACAAAACCGAATATCTTTAGAACGGCTTTAAATGACACAAAACTCACACAGGTGAGTAGAATATGATGTAATAACCTAAAATTAAGGGCCCAATGTAAAAAAAAACAAAATGGTGCCCCACTTTAAGTCTTCCAGGGGCAGATATTGTTTTTAGGCTAAAGGACTACGTCAACAC